GTTTTCATCTGAGAGTGGATATAACACAAATCAGATGATGTAACCGTGACATAAACACTTGGGCACGGTAGTTATCATGTGATCAGAAAGAAGTCTTGCTTTATTGCAATCCAATAATGACTGTGAACTCGATCTCCACAGTGTCAATATGGCCATTGTGTGAAATGTGAGAAATAACAACACATAAACACTAAACGTAAAAAAGACAAACAAAAAAATTGTCTAGTTATCATGTCTTTCCTTCCATTTTAAGGTAAGGAAGTAAACTTCGGGGGAGGGAAGGGGGGGCTGCTCGTCATGCATTTCAAAGTTGGAGAATGTTAAATATGGCCAGAACCACAGCTGTATTAAATGTGACTCAACTGGTTGGACTAAAAATATCACACACTGATAAAAGACCTAGGGTGGAGGCTGTTTTTATTACTCACCGTAAAGCTATGTTGAATGAACTTTTTTGTATTTATTTTTAGTGAAAACGGATACTAAATACTGGATTTATTAATAAATACATATATACAATGTTTTCATGTAACAAAAAACATTTTTTCCTCTCTTCTTTCTCTTTTTTTTATATTGTTTTTACTTTGCTAGGCTAGACTACTCTTAAATCTGCCATTCAGAACATAAACACACATTCACACCATATATATATATATATATATATGATTTTATATGGCCTATATGTATCATAGTTACTGTAATTATTTAAACTATTTTGCTTTATGCTGCGTTTAATTTTTGGCTTCTGTCACAAACAAATTTTCTCATTTGTTGAAAAAAATTGTATCTTTTAACATAACTCAAATCCATAAATTCTGCTAAATGGAGAGCATCTACGTTTTGATTGATGCTCTCCTGGTGGAAACATACCTCTTTTGTGAGATCATCATTGCCATCCCTGTTGCCGTGCTCCTGGTTGCCCTCGGGGGCCACAGCTCCCAGGCTGCTGTCCGCTGTGTTCAGACTGTATGTGGATTCAGGCGCTCCACTTCCTCCCCTCATGGCCGGGGTAGCGTCAGGGTTGTTAACGTCCTCTAGGCCGGCCCCATTGTCCAGGGTGATGGTGGGGCTGGACTGGCTGCTGGCGGACACCACAGTATCAGAGTCACGATGCACTAGCCAGGTGTTGAGCTCTGTACTGGGCACGAAGAGGCGATCCAGCTGGCGCACCTGGTTTAGCAGCCGTCTAGTGGTGAAGAAACGATCGAGGTCCACACTTTTTGGATGGATGCCATAGCCGTCCAGCGTGTTGCGCAGGTTGTGAAACTGTGTCTGGGTGTAGGCTGAGCTAGGCCCCAGGATGATCTCTCTCAGTGGGGGCAGCTGATTGTTTAGGTAGGTGTCAACGTCCACCCGCACCCCAATGAGACTCAGAAGGATGGTGAACTGAATCAGGCCCTCTGTGAAGTACTTTTTCAGGTAAAGCATTTCTTTACAAAGGAACAAAAGGTGAAAGTAAAAAACAAAAACAAAAAGGGGGCCAACTTTCTTGGATCAATAGTTCTCCACTACCAGTAAAAGACTGAGATAGATACATGAACATAAAAACCAGTTAAATATAGCAAAAGGGGAGGGTTGTCAACAGGATTATCTATGTCAAAAAGCTGTATAGGATCCAAGATGAGGTTTTCACTTTTTTAGAGAGTCCAGTTTAAAGTCAAAGCTCTGCTCTTCAAAAGAGTGTCATCATCCTATTCCTGGCAAAAGTGAGAAATAAATGTGTTAATGCTCTTTTACAATAAAATTAAACATTACAATACATTCAGCCCTGAAGCACGCCAAGCCTTACCTACCTACATTTGCATTAGGCACATGTTAATGAAAACAGGACTTGCTAGCCCATTGCAACCACTCCATCCTCTAAAGACTAAATAAGTGATGTCGGTTCGCAACGCGCAATGCCTCCTCATTGCTGGACATTCAGCAGCCCAGAGATGGTGAAGAGAGAGCTTCAGGCATCACCCCACCCTTGACAGGACAACTACTTCGTGTGGGTGCTGCTGAAGGTGAATGAGGGAGTCCAGAAAGCTCGCTGGGCTGCTAGCATACGCACCAATGTTAGGTGGATGGCACGGTCCCTCCCTCCTTTCGTCCTTACGACGTTAGCTGTTAGCTGCCCTGCCTCTTAAAATCCGGCTATCGGTACTACGCATTACCTTATTAAACAAGACAAAGTAGCTGTGATGCGTTTTATCCACTTACCCTTAAAAAAATGACAGCTTTCTCTGTTTATATTTTAATTTTAGGACTGCCTACTTCCGCTGTAGCTAGCATCAACAATCTCCCTAGCAACAAGTGGTGAAAAGGTGATTGACAGAAAGTACAGCCATCCACATGCTTTGGGCGCAGCGACGACACATGACTCCAGTAACTCCCGACCAATAAGAATAGGGCAAGGGCGGGGTTGACAGAAAATGCCCAACTACTATTGGAACTCAAAACGTACACTGTGCTAGCCTTATGAGCTAGTTTTCTTCTAACTACCTAAACAATTCAGTTAGTTTTAAAAGTAACGTAAACAAGATACACCGCTATGTTCATTGCCCTCCCGTAAACATCACTTTTATTAATTTACGTGTCTGCTAACGCTAGCTTGCGCCGTAAGTCAATGCGGTTTCGCCGCACAGTATGTTATTTAATTTAAAACCTTTTGATTGTAATACTTACGCATGAAGATTTTGCAAGTGTGCCTTCATGCCTCAAAGTCAGCTTAGAATAGTAACAAGTCCTTTTTCATTAAAAGTTCCACAGTGATGCCAGATACAGCACTCTCCAGCCTTTCCTCATTGAATGGCCCACCATGACTTGCAAAATTGCTAGCTAGCCCGGCTAGCCTAGCAGCGCCGCTTGACACCAAAACACGCTTTCACACAGAGCATGCGTAGAACATTCTAGTGGCAAGCTTTCATCAGCCGACTGAAAATTCCCCCGCTGGTAATATTCCACAAGTGTACGACGGCAAAATAATATGATAATAATAATAATAATGATAATAAAAAAGGTAAAGGGTGAGGACATGCATGTAAAATTTTGAAATAAAAAAATATTTTGTAATGTTTTGATTTACAAGAAATAAAAGTAAATATTACGGGAAAAACACGCAAAATTACGTGAAAAGGGGGAAGTTAGTTTACTTAAAATATAATTGGAACATTTAGAAAATCAGGGATTTCCTTTCTTTCTCGTTTTTTGAGTCAATTATCAGCAGCTTTACTTTTCAAGGTTCAAGCTGGGGATAAATTCAGTGCATTCTACAATTGCAGGCCATTTTCTGGCCCAGCCATGAATCTGAAAACAATATGCACAAAATATTTTAAAAAACATATGTCCTGAGACTAAATGTAAACCTAGTTGTTGAAAAAGTGGTTTCAAAATATAATTTTAAATTATAAATAGCTCTAGAGAACCCAGAAAAATCAGTGTTAAGTTATAAATCTACGTTTTTGTTTTGATTTTATTGACCTCTCTTGGAACTTTGAAACCATTTTTACTTTTATTTTGTAATTTTCCATAGCAGGTTGTGTCTCACAGCATATGTGCAACGCTGTTACTGAAACCTTTTTAGCCTGTAAAAGAAGAACGAGTGGTAACACTGTGTCGTCATTCATATGCTTTGTATTTTTCCGACCCTTTTTTGCATTGGGACAGTCTAAAAAGTAATATTGTTGGAAATATTGAGGGAATCCCTTTGTTACAGTTGGTTACTGCACTTTTCAGCTAAACAAAGTGGTAATGTTGAGCTGAATTAGTCATATTTTGTATGACTAATGTCATTGACTAATTTTCATTTTCCGTTTTTCCCCTCATATATTTGAGGACTTTTTTTAGGTAAAAATATTCATTTTTATTTAGCCAAGTTTTGACATAAATTTGACCTTTTTCTTAGTTAGTGTTTTCTTGTAAATTTACAACTTAAATATTGTAAATTCTTGATTTACAAGAATTTGTAAATCAAGAATGATGAGTTGGGGGTGATTTAATCACCTTCACCCAGTTTTTAAAATTTCAAATATTTAGTTTTTTAATTATAGTGAGTCTTGAAAGCAATGACAATGCTTTTCAATGATAATAAAATAAAAATGTATTTATATTATAAAATATATTTAAAGAGGTTTGTAAGGTCCCTTTGCAGTCATAATAACATATAGAAGTCAAAGTGTGACATTCATATTATGGACGCATAGCCTAAAGAAACAAAACACACATACGGGAAAAACAAAATAAACCAGAAAATTCTGGCAAACATCAGCGACAAAGAAGATCTTGTTCCTCAGCCAGTGGTTATGAAAAGTTTTCATAATTTCTGACGTGGCTTCAGTGAACAGTAGATGGCTCAGCTGAAGGTCCAGATGCATCTCTCAGGTCCCGTGTCAGGTGTTTGATGGATTTATTCCTATTTCTTAACGACATGACCTTCAGATACTGTTCATCTGCTGTTTTTCAAAAATGTTTTCAAGTCTGTCACTCCTTTTGCCCCAAACTTGTCCAGTTTCCTCAAATTTCTTAAGGTCACACTGCACGCTATGCAGTTTGTTTGTTTTTTGGCCAATAGCTTTTTTAGAATCACCTTGTTGGTGCAAATATACCAGTTTATAACTGCAAATCAGTGTTGTCTTTGGCATTTTTCAAGCATTCCTCTGTAAATAGGTACAAGGACTGGACTGAAAATGAGTGAAAAAGCAGTCAATGTCCAAAGAAAAACTTCAGAGGTCCACTTTAGAAAAATGACAAGAAAATCAAGTTTCTTGGAAGCGAAATATAAAGAAATGAGTGGTGGCTCAGGACTTTTGGACAGTAATATATTTTGTTTTAATACAGTGGCATCAAAACTTGAAACCTGCTTAAAATCCAGTTTTATTCCCTGGTTTTAAACCAAGACTCAATCCTAACAATACACAAGTTATTTTTATCACGTTTTAGTATTTTCAACATTGCTCGTTTCTTTCTCTCTACAGCAGTTATACAAAAACGTAAAGAACAAAAAAAAAACCCAACAAAAGTTTACATTAAATACTGCTTTTTTAATTTCTGTTGTAGACCATGACAAAATATTTTCAGTGACTGTCTGAAGTTCACTAAATATTAACCCCCATCAGGTTCACAGGCCTGTTGTGGTATCGCTTTGAAATGTCTGCCTCGATCTGTGAAAACAAACATAACAATCATCAGTTACTTCTGAGAACATTGTCGGCGTAACACTTAGAATTTGTACCGTTTCCATGTCACATAGAATATGAATACCTTTATGTGTCTGCTCATATTTAAACAGAAATCTCACAATGACAGTTTTCAGTATTTGCTGCTTCCTGCAGCCTCTTTATTTGACATAGCTAATAAATTATCCACCGTGCCAACAGAAACAAATACAAACATAATGCTGTACCAGCTTCTGGAGTTCCCGGGTGCATCCTGCCAGCAGGTCAACACGAGGCTCCAGCCTGGACTGCTCCTGCAGGGCTTCCTGCCTCTTCTCTGCCATTGTGGCTCCTTTCAGCACCAGAATGTCAGCCTGCTTCATTTTCTGTCTCAGCATCTCCGACACGCGCTCAACATACCTGAACACGCATGTCACATTAAAAACAATGAACGAAAGGTGCAACATTTCTGATGCACACAAAGGGGTTTTTCCACTTTATTTAAAGACTGATGCTCATGATAGAAATGATTTATGTCATTTATACTGAATAAGTGGCTCTGTATTGTAGCGGTTGACTTATTTGCCTAACAAGCAAAAGAGCCTCAGTTTGAGCCCACAAGGAGTCACACAGGGGTTTGTGTCAGGAAGGGCCTCTGGTGTAAAAATCTGCCAAATCAAATATGCAGAGCTACTCGCTGTGAATAAGTGAGCAGCTCAAAGTAGCTTATATTATTTATACAGAAGAGAAAATGTATTGTCAGTGTACTTTACATAAAAAAGGACCTGCTACAAGGCAATTAATTAAGCATTCTGTACTTTAATTTCCCTTCTACAGAAGAGAGACAGAATAATAAAAGTTACCTGTCTCTTAAATCACAGCCAGTTATGGTAGAAATGAATCACAGAGCTAATCACACTAACCACAGACATGAATGTCAAGGTAATATCAGGGTTGCAATTTTTTATCTGCAAAGGTTTTTTCTGGGTCTGATTGGAGAAAGGGGATCCTTAAGAGTACAGAAACTCCAGATTTTGTGGCACAAATTCTAACTTTCACTTTCTGAAATAAGCACAGGGATGGGGAACTCCAGGTCTCGAGGGCCGGTGTCCTGCAGGGTTTAGATGTGTCCTTGATCCAACACAGCTGATTTAAATGGTTAAATCACCTCCTCAACATGTCTTGAAGTTCTCTAGAGGCCTGGTAATGAACTAATCATTTGATTCAGCTGTGTTGACGCAGGGTGAGATCTAAAACCTGCAGGACACCGGCCCTCAAGGCCTGGAGTTTCCTACCCTTGCGCTAAGCTATAAACTTGTTAAGCTATTATATACAAAAGTCACAATAAAGTGCTAAAAGAGAAGTTTGAAATGCTAGTTCTTGATCTTATGTGTGTTATTTTACAACAAGGTTATGTATTCACATTGTTTCCTGAAATAGAGATCAGTGGTGATCATGCTGATATTCTGGCGACCATCATACCGTGGAGAGGCGTGAATCATGAACAGGTGCTGCATCCGGAGAGAGGTGAGCCTCCCCAGAAGGTCCTGCACCTCAGACAGCATCGCCTGGATGTGTTCGCAGGTTTGGCCTTGGATGACCGAGGGGGCCTGCTGGAACTGGCTCATAGCTACCACATCGCCCTCTTCTCTCATCTCAGTCAGACGCTGAGTCAGGAACACCTCCAGCTGCACCAACAAATGAAGCCAGAGTCATGTGTTAGTGACAGAAAACCAAATCTGGCATTAAAACACTTATATATAAATATCACAGTAAAAAATGCAATTGCACCTCAACAGTGGGAGTATTCTTTCAGGTCCTAATCTTGTGTTATGTCTGAATGCATAAGACCATATCAGCTAAACGTTTATCAGGACCAGATTTTTCTATTTAATCCACGTAAAAGATTAGGAAATCACACCATCTGCCTTTATTGCCTCTTTCCTGAATTTCTGCAGTTCTCTCTGTGCAGAGGTCTTCCTTATCGCACCAGCAGCTGGTTAACCATGCAGCAGAGACACTCCTGACTAGTACCAAACACCGAAATCATGACCCAATTCCAATCCGGGCTCTATACCTTTTCACTTCATCTGCAGTATAAAGTGGCCGCCTCTGCATTTCACTGTTGCTATGCATTCGTCTTGATTCAGTGCTACAACTAGAAACTCTTTGACCTCAATCTTGGCGTTCTTTTTTCACCATTTTAACTTCTTTCTTGCAGCTTTGTGGCCATCTCTTTTGAGCTTATCTAAAACTTTATAATGACATGTAGCCGCTGTGCTCAGAAGAACGTCAGGCTTCTTGTCAGTGGTCTCATAGCCTTCACCTCGATAACACACTGCAGCTATTTTATTCAGCTTTCTTGTTTTCTTTCTTCTTGGTTTACTCCGTCCTGACTGGACTGCTTACTTGCCAACATATGTATGTTTCTACAATCTGAAATAACCTTCTTAAAGGCATTTGAATTACACACTCCAGCAATTTTCAGCTGCAGCTGTGTCTTTATTCTTACTTAGCCACTGCTACAGAGAAGAGACACACAAGGAGATTCTTCAAATCTGAAGTTATACTTTGAATACTACATTATACTTTACTGCACTATTATTCGTGTTCAGTAGTACCTAATACATGTGAATTACTGCAACCTGTTTGCAGTGTGCTCTGCCTCCAGACGAAAATCAAATGAGGCAGGCTTCAGACACCCCCTGTACCCACTTAATTAAAAGTACAGATAGATGTGTGCTGCTCTGATGGCCTTGGAAATAAAATGTTTTGATTTGAATTAAATAATAAGTATGGTGCACACAACTACATGGATTGACTGCTAAAAACTGAGTCAACTCTTGAGTTTGGCTGTTGTTAACGCAAACCTTTTGTTCCACAACATGAAACACATGTAAATAGCTCACTTGTTAATCTATTATGTGTACTAGAGAAGATGCTTACTGGCAAATGGCTAAATAAGACTGCAGATAAGTCGTCATCAAAGTGAATGCAGGAGGTGATGGTGAAGTCATAAGACTATGGCGTACTTTATTTGTAGCCTAATGGCAGAAATACTTTTGGTGGCTACAGTCATGTTTCAGACATCACGAGTTTTCTTGCGTCATCCCAACATTTACAGTCCCTCCTCTCACCCTCCACACTCCCTGCCTTTCCTTCTCTCTCGCTGCCTCCTAACATGCCTTCCCCCTTTCCTCTTCCTTTGCATTCGCCAACAGTAGCAAAGCTTTCACCAGCACTCTGACGAAGATTCAGCACTGAAGGTGGTCTTCGTTAACCCGGGCTCTGACTGATCCAGTATGGGATTCTCATTCTTCATGATCCACA